TCCTCTCATTTCCCGAGTCGAAATATTTCAGGGACTCGTTGACGTCCCTCTCGAGCTCCTTCGGCTGAGCGGTTCCAAGTATCTACGTTATACCGTGATATGAAATTAATATATGCCAACGCGACTTGAGCTCGAGTCCGAGCTCGATTTCCATGACAACTGCTCGGGAAGCAGGCACTAATGCCATGCGAAGCTTAGATTGTATCTTGTGTTCGGTGATTTGCCACCGTCGTCGTCGCCTTGATCCCATGAATATTTGATGTATTCGGTGTCAAGATGCATAAATCATCTCGTCGCCGCTGCTGCCATCGCTTCGGCTCCCGGATGATACGTACCAGCGTAATCAGGGCTATGACGAAGCGAGGATTTCTTCCTCTTGCGGAATCGACAGCGAAATATCTGCTGTCCCGGAGAACCGCGCGGGGTTCTACGCTGTGGAACGGATCAGAACTGGAATCCCGTCTGAAAGAGTCGGAAAATTGTCGGAGTCAGCAGATCTCGACTTTTCGCTCGCGAATGGCGCTCGTCCCATCGGAACACGCGACGAAGTAGAGTCGACAGTGGATGGCAAAAGATGGAAAACCCATGCCGGCGGTTAGTTATGATGGGGGAGCCGCACGGCGGATTCAAAGCCACGCTCCAAGCTAGTCCTTGGTAGATTTCTCTTTGTTTTTGGTGGGTTTTGTCAGTCCGAAGGAAGGGACAGGAACGTACATTTCGAGCTCGAAATAATTCTCCGAGTGCAATGTCCCCGATTTCCAAGAACGAGCACTGTGGCGAAAATCGATTTCGGAGATTATGCGCTCGCGACATCGGTCGAAACAAGATGTCTGTCCTCGGTCATCCAAGGAGCCTGCGTGATCTCGGACTAGCTGTGAATGGGAAGTCCGCGAAGTTGTCTCGTGACATTGATGTTGTTTGCTATTCGGATGAGAGATCGACGTTTTGAGCGGTAGCAAGCTCAGACCGAGTCGAATGTTTCTGGCCTCGATTCAGCTCATCCGTACGCTCAAACACCACAGAGGTGTTCCTCAACGAGATCTTTTTTGTTCGTATCGGAGCGATACATTCTCAGGACTCTCATGGATAAGATTCTGCACTGGGGGTGGGCGGTGTGCCGATAAAGTTATTAAGTCACCGAGATAGTCGAGAAAAATCGAAGTTTCCCTCGATTCGTCGATATTTACACTCGAAAGGAAGCTCGGTGGCCGCCGCGAGTGTGTTCTGGTCGGAAAAGGGAATGCGGAGCGGTCAATGTGCATTCGTCCATCGGTCCATTGGCCTCTGGACGGCTGTCTGAATTCATGATGAGTCGTCGGAATGGAAATGTGATCGAAGATTCAATCAGAGACCCGTAGAGCTTAGAGAGACCGATACCCATAGATTTTCCTCCCCCTTCAATAGAGCGCGGGAGTATGTTGCGGTCTCCGGAGCCGAATTTTTGTTCAAGGAGACGTTCCGAGAAAGCGACCGACAAGCGGGTGAACGGATGGATGGAAAGACGACGGGAAGACGGACGGAGGAGCGGGTGGCAAGTCTAAAGAGCATTGTCAGCTGTTTTGGCTGTGCCGAGGGAGAAAATCTCGACGAGAAGTTGCAACGGTCCTCGACTTTGACCGAGAGTCCTTTCTCTACAGTCGCGGAGAACGAAAATGAACGGCTGCGAAATTCGAGGGGGCTGAACAGCGACGACGCTGCCGGAATCGCCAGCCACGGTGCCCGCTGGTGACCGAACGAAATTCCCGGAAAGGAGACAATTTTCCACTTTTTTTCCCACCCCGTTCCGCGATCGAAGCTTCGGAGCGACGTGAGTTTGCGGAGTGACCGCTGCGCGGGTTCAAATCTTAGACTCCATGGAGTGCGTTCCCTGTGTTCCGCGCTGAGAGTCCGGATCATGCGGCGCTCTTCCTCCGAGCGCTCAGGCCTGCTCTGGAAATTCGGAAAAGTGTTGTTTATTAAAGAGCTACAGTCACTGAGCCCGGGGCTGCCTTCCTCCGCTACAGTATCGATGTTGTTCCTGGTGCAGCTCCTCTTATTAGCCGCAGCGAGAACAACAAGCCAGAAACGCAGGATCGTCTCAGCAATGAAGACGACCATAATCACACAGGGACCGGCGGGGGAGCAGGAGCCAGGATCCTGCGGTTGCAGCAACCGCGGGTTTTAAAAAGCTGAGCGCAAACTGTGACCTGCCTCGACGCGCGTGGGGAAACTATTTAAGACCCCCGGGTCATCCATGATCACCGAGAGTTCCCTCTTTGTGGAGGCGGCGCCGACCGTGTTTGAGGGAGGCAGAGCGACGAGTCCGCGGCACGTATCCACATCCTCTTGACGTTAAACGAACCAACGATCCACTCGTCCGCCAGACTCCCACAATTTCGGTAGCAAACGAAGCGAGCAGACAGGCCAGCTGGCAAGACGGTCTCCGACGGGACCGACCTGGATTAGTTCCAGTCACTTGCAACGTGCGTGAGAACTCACCTATCCGAAGCGGGAACCATGGGGTAATTGAAGTTCCTATCGAGTGTATTTCCTCCGCTGCCGGTTGTCGATGGAAAAGTGCAAACTAGAGCTCCAGGATGACGTGCCCGAAACGTTGGAAAAGCCGAGTAGATAAGCTCTCGACGAAAGATGGTATCGATGTATAGGGAGAAGGAAGACGAGGAAAAAATACAGCCAGGGCGACCCATGACGGGCCGATGAAAAGCGTGACTGGGCCTTCGGCAACTCAATCCGACTTTAATCAAAGCAGCAGCTCGAGCAACACCGGCTCCGGTGTTGTCTCTCTTCCCTGAGGCTTTGTGCGACGTTCCCGTCACGCCCTCACGACGCCCCTCTCGATCTCCTCGGAGCCTTATCCATAACTGAGTCAATGGGTCACGTCACCTTCTTTGTTCTTGTTCGTCCTCCAGTGGAGTTCCGTTCTCAATAGTACGACTGCAAACCAGCTGCACTCCTGGCAAGAGGAAAAGGCAGCTCCTCTTGACCCGGACAGCCAGACAAGGACACTCGGGTAGGGAAAGATATCTCCGCTCGGCTTGCACCGATCGTCGTCTCGATGGTAGCGATGATGCGGGAAAGGCTAATTCGGAGCTAGCTCCACGCTCACCACCTGTCTCCTGCAACGCAGAACGTCCCGCTCACCAATCGATGGCGGGCTCCTCTCGCGCCACTTCCCTGCTGGTGCACTTTTTCGGGTTGTAAATCCCTGCGAGAGTCTTCTTCGCTTCCTCTCTCTGGCAGCGTATCCCGTCTCCTCCGGCCGAATCGGATCGCTTCCTCTGCCCAAACCCCCTGTTCTGTCCGTATTTTATCCGGGAGCCGTGTGCCGCTCGACGTCCTTTTTCCGGCACCGCTCTCTCATTCTTACTTAGCTGCTCGGTGATAGTCGCGGCTTTGGCGGTCGGCCTCAGGCCGAGACAGGCCGTCGGACAGCCTGAAAGCGGTCTTTTCTCTGCCCCTTCAGAATAACGACAAAGGAATCCCGAGGCTGCGAACGAAATTACGGCATCACTGATAACTTATGGAAGATCGGAAAAGCCAACAAGAGAGGAATGCCCGCCCGCTCGCTCCGGCCCCGGCATTCTATCGATGTGAAGTTTCATACGAGAGCTCGCGTGCAATCGGTAGTATCGGCCCATCTGCGATGAGATCGACGTACGTTCTCGACTTTCGGTCGCATCGACACACAAACTTCGTCGGAGGCATCTCATATGGGAATCGGTCTCCCCTCACCAGTGCCGCTCGGACTTCCCGGCTTACGTAATCGACTGCTGATTGGATAACCGAAACTCGAGAAGAACATTCGCATTTTACGCAGATGACGTCCTTTTTTGATATTCTATGGCAGCCCGATCCCATCTTCGCTACCGTGACCCGAGCTTCGACTGGCATCGTGGAATTGGTTCTTTTCCCTAAAAACCACCCTTTCGTGGATTATGGCTATCACGACAGTTTCTGGACAACCGTGATGGACAGCCTCAACATGCCAGGCGCGTCTGGCTTGTCCGCTCGTCGGATGGGTGGGTGAGGAGCTTCTTGAATGGATGGGTGGTGCTGTATTCAGTGCATCTGCTTCCCGAAGAAAGGGGAATTTCACTTATGACGAGAGTCATTCGTGTAAACTCCCTTTTTCGGATCGCTCCACGGCAAGAGCTCAAGGACATCCTACGGTAATATCAACCTTCGGTAATGACAGCTATCTCGGACGGGTGCGGGATGGCGTTGCAAGTATGGCAAGGGAAATTTTATTGTTTCTACTCTTCGATCGGACATCTTGCCGTAACAAATTGTGCGGAAACGTCGAGGCGGAGTCAGGCTTTTACTGTTGCCTCTGATTATAGTACTTTCTGTCATAGTTCAACTTCGATCTCCCGGCTCGATGGAGCGATAGGTTCACCTGAATCACAGCATCATCGAGTCGATAGCTTGTTGAGAAACCGGCAGTTGCCAGAGGGATCCGTCCGAACTTTCTCTGCGATTTTCTTCCGCTTGTGAGCCCTCGGCAAGATTTCCTGAGGGACCACAAGCTGAATCTACTCCTCGACTCCGACGTCACCGAATGAGTAGACGCCCTTAGTGAGGCGCCGATTCCCTATTGTGATCGCCCCGTATGGCTTTTTCGAGTAGAAAATTCATGTCACGGTCTTACGCTCATGAACGACTATCTGTCTTTCCAGATCCTTCCCTTGGCTCTGTGAGCCAGCCCCTGTACCTCCAGCCATCCCGATCAGAACAGGCTTACCTCACGGGAAACTCCTTCTTCGTGACGTGCTTCGGCGAGGACGAAGACCGGGATCAGTTGATGTGGCGGAGTCCCGAAGGTCGTCCGATCACTGAAAGCGAGGGGCGCATGCACGTCTACCGAAGAAGAGATGATCCCGAAGGAACTGTGTCACTTCAACTAGTCGTCGACGGGGTGAGTACCCAATAAGTATGGCAATTGAGTTCCGCTAGAATTGACAGATGCATTCAATTTATTCCCATTCTATCATTACATAAATCTCTCCCGGGGCAAGTTGGTTCGACAGCATTCGAAATCAGCCAGATTCCCTTTTTTCATTTCATTCCCCGAACATCCCCGTCGAACTCGCTCGCTCCAAGACATTTCCTCCCACCGCTGTCCATCGAATGCTGTCGCAAAGGGAAAGTTGACAAAGTCGTAACCTCTTTCGACTCACTCTAAATTCACCCGGCTGCATGAATGGTGTTCGCCATTTTATATACAAAAAAAAGATGTAGGCGTCATAGTAATTTACAAATCGATCGTTTCGGTGGAGGGGGCGCTTCCAAGGCCGCTCTGACTGCTGCTTCGAAAACCTCTTTGACTCCCATTCCTTTGAGCGCTGAGCATTCCCGGTAGACGTGCGCTCGAATTTTTCTTGCCATCGCGGCTCCATCGTGACTTGTGACCGGGGTTCTGTTCTGAGCCATCAGTTCTTCAATGGTTTTCCGATCCTTGCGCAAATCGATTTTGTTTGCTACGAGAACTATGGGAACGTAGGGCAGGTAATGCCGAACCTCGGGCAGCCATTTCTCCCTGACATTGAGTAGCGAGACCTGCGACTCAACCGAGAAACAAATTATAACCACGTCGGTGTTGTGGTAGGAAAGGGATCGCAAGCGAGCGTAGTCTTCCTGACCGGCGGTATCCCAGAGAACCATGTCATGAGTTTTTCCCCCTACGTCGATACTGGTTTCCTGCGCACCGAACACCGTGGGACAGTAAACGAAGTCGGGAAAATCGTTGAGCGCATAACGCATTTGGAGGCACGTTTTGCCACAACAGCCATCGCCCACAGTGACAATTTTATATCTCTTCGGAGGTTTAGGTTTATTAGCCATCCCTCCGCTCTCGAATCCTCGTCTGGGCTGCTACTCCCACTACGACTCGACCACGGCTCGCAGGGACCTCTCGATCGTGGGCTACGGCTTTTCCTGCAAAGAAAAATACTTTTTTTTTCTTTCTGCGGACACGTCTCCTAATAGCTCCTCGCGCGCAGATTAGATCTATGACGGATAGTTCAGAGCCCTAAACGACAGAGCGCCGATGAATACGATAAAAAATTGAGCGGAACCGAAGTGATTAAATTTGGTCGGCTTTCCGTCAACGCCGCTTCCATCCAGCTTCAGCGGCTGAGACAGCGCGCCGCTGTCAGGTCAGCGTGACTCGCGGCTGAGCTGAGTTCGACCCGGTCGGTCAGCCTGACTGCCTACCTACCTACCTACCTACCTACCTACCTACCTACCTACCTACCTACCTACCTACCTACCTACCTACCTACCTACCTACCTACCTACCTACCTACCTACCTACCTACCTACTACTACCTACCTACCTACCTACCTACCTACCTACCTACCTACCTACCTACCTACCAACCTACCTACCTACCTACCTACCTACCTAGGTAGGTCAAGAAATCGAGGTCAAGAAAATAAAATGAAGATCGCCGAATGGGATGATCTGCGAGAATTGACATCAACGTTTCGAGGAATCAATTTCAATAAATCCGCTTGGAACTCCGCGATTTGATTTCGATAGTGAACGGGAGTCCCGAAAGCATTGTTGTCCCCAAAATAATATACGAAGTTCATTTCACGCGCGAAATTTCTCATACGCCGAGGCTCGTTACACGCGGGGCTCGCTATACGCGGGCTTCGTTAAACGCGAGGTTCGCTATAGGCGAGGTTCGTTAAACGCGAGGCTCGTTATACGCGGGGTTCGCTATGCATGAGGTTCGTTTTACGGAAAGCTCGTTAAACGCGAGGTTCGTTATCAGCGGGACTTTAGGTACATAAGTGAAGAGCTCGCAGCGAGTCCGGACGCCGAAAAATTCCATCGAGCAAGAGTCGATGTCTCTGAGCGGCGATCTTTCAGAGATCTCTCCCGAGGTGAAGCCCTCATGAGAGACTATTCCCGGGGTATGATTCGAATGAACGCTCCCTCTTCAGACATCCAATTGGAAAGAGGGAGAATCACCTCGCTTCATCCCTCTGCTTGAGTGAAAGTATCTGATAGGCACACGAGCCGTCTGGGCGGCGTGGCTCACTCCTGTGTGATTGATCGGAAGGTTAATAGGTCAATCCGACCTCTCTGGCACGCATCAGAATGTGATCTCGACTCATCACTGCCCAATCGACATCAGCGGAAGGGTCACTTACCATCCGTACTTGCGGTCGACATTCCTCTGGAGTCCAGCGGGTGCCGGTCAGGCTGAAGAGCATTGAAGGTGTGGGAAGCTCATACCTGGCGGCTGAGGTCACTCGGGACCCGAAATCGTGATGGATCGAAACTCCGATTCCCGAACTCAAAACATTCGTCGATCCCAAAAGGGGAGAGGCCCGAGTTAGGCAATGATCTAGGAAAACAGCACCAACTAGCTGGAGAATTGAATGACGTTCGGAGGAAAATCTACAACCAAGTCGAGAGAGGTTGCCAACGGCAACAGAAAACTCTACGACTATATAATTCGAGCCCCGAGATATCAGAAAGCAAAAAGATTCTGGGACACCCGGAAAGAGGACAGGGGGGACCGAAAACCGGTGGCTGCCCTAGATGAGTCCGGGAGGGAGATCAAGGACGGAGAAATGGAGGACCACCTCACGGAGGTCCTCTCGAACTTGCTCGAATGCGACAATGCTGAGAGTCCCACCACGGACCCAAAGAGAGAACTGAAGGTCCCAATGGGGCCACGAGTAGTGGTTGACGCCGATATGATAGCTGAAGTTTTCGGCAAAGTACCGATAGACTCTGCGATGGGACTGGATGATATACCAGCCTACGTCCTCGGAAACCTAGGCAAAACAGGATGCGAGTACTTAGCACGACTGTTCACAGATATCAGGAGGGGAGCCCGGCCGATCCCAGAGGACTGGCGCTTAGCACGGGTGTCACTCCTCATGAAGAGCATCTCGAAAAAAGGGATGCTCAAAACGTATCGGCCACTCACAATATCACCGATATTGTACAGGCTATTCGCGCGAATACTATGCCGAGAAATCCAGGATTGGATGGAACAATCGGAAGTAATCGGTGAAAAGCAATATGGCTTCAGAAAAGACAGAAGAGGAGAAGATTGAATTTTTATCTTGACTTCTGCCATCGAAATTGCTTGGCAGGAGAACGCAGGCCTGATAACCTGCTTCTTGGACTGCACCGGTGCCTACGATCGAATTGACAGGACACGACTCTGGGAGGTTCTGGAGAAGAAAGGCATGCCAGAACCTATCATAGAACTACTCAAACTTCTATACTCCGATAACAGAGTAGCACTCCATTATAATGGCCACAAATCCAAAACCATCCGAACGGAGATGGAAGTCCGACAGGGTTGCCCGTTGAGTCCCATCCTATTCATCCTGTACATATCAGAGCTCGAATCGAAGCTACAGCAAACAGGAATCGGATTTAAGGTCAGATTGCCAGGAAAATTGTTCGACACTGAGCGAGAAAGACATCTCTCGATAAGTGGACTATTATTCGCTGACGACTTGGTACTGATCTCACAGACCCGGAAAGGAATGGTCACATTACGAGAGGTAGTACCGATTTTTGAGGACCAGATGAATCTCCAATTCAATCCAAGCAAGAGTGCCATTATAGAATATGCGCCATGTAGAGACTCAGAAAAGGAATACGAAGTCCAAAACCGCGCGCTACCTACTCTCAACTCCTACAAGTACTTAGGCATCACTCTCTATGATGGGAAAAACTACCTGGAGGAGCAAGAGAAGATCTGGGAATCGGAAGCAGAAAAAGTTCTGCGACAGATGCACGCCAAATTACTCTGAAGATTAGACAGATTTGAGGTGACTAATATCCAGTGGAAGAGCACGGCGGTACCAGGATTGACATATGCCAACTCGGTAACCACCATGTCCGCGAAACTGCGGCGGAGACTCGAAATCCTACAACGGGAGGCTGGAAGATGGGCCCTGGGGGAAGCCAATGCGAACACCGCCATAGAATTCAAAGACGGAGAGCTGGGATGGTCCACGTTCGAAGCCAGAGAAGCGAAGAGTCAGCTAATATATCAGGCTAGAATCAATGAGATGAGCGAGACGAGGTGGCCAAAGGAAATCCAGACAATGATGAAGATTGCGATAAACCCACCAAAGTTCAAAAGAGAAGTCTAGAGTTGAAGAAGAAATTCGGATGTCAGAGCATCCGGGAAATACCAAGGTCAACTCTAATGTAAGAGTGAGTCTCGGTGTGTACAAAAAATACGTTAACGAAACCATCAAAAACAAACTTGACCAAGATTGGGTCGGAGGGATGTCCGAGAAGAGAACCCTTGAACGGTACAGGACTTATAAAACGGTGCGAAGAAATATCGAGCACATCTATGACGATACGAGAGGCAGTCGCCTTCACGCGAATGCTAGAGCGGTATGTTTACAGACTAGAAAATTTAGGTTTCGTTTCAAAAACATCGGAGCGACCGCCCTGAGGTGCGGGAGAGAAGAGGAGACCCAGGAGCATGTGATCCTCGAATGCGAACACCCCCCGGATGCTGAGTGTATAATACGGAAAAGACTGAGCCTACACGAAGAAAGCACCCCGAAGATGATTTTCGACACAAAAGTAATGTTGGAAGAGTGGGAAAAGAGGAATATCCGCAATCCCGACGGACAAATCGCGAAACCGCACCCGCCAACGACCAGCTGAGCCATCGCCCCTATATATTAGAGTCTCTCTCGATGTTCGAAATTTGAACATAGCTAGGGAAGGTCAATAAAAAATCAATCAATCAATGTTCCCAGCGACCATGAAAACCATCATCCTCATCGCGGCTGGGTGTATCGCTTTGGGCACCGCGTTGCGTAATTCGAAACCATCGAAAGCGAAAACGCCGAAACCGATTCAGTGGAACGGCTCCTCCTACTCGCAAATCTTCGGTCTCTGTAAGAAGTTCCGTATATTCAATCCTGTGGAATCGGTGAGAGCGCAGGCTTGGGCGACTGATGCTTTCCGGAGGTGCGGCCCGTCGATCGTTATCGACTTCGCTACGAGATATAAGTTTACCGTGTTTGGTGAGTTCGCCATATTTTCGATCGCTTTGACGTCAGTGCGCGATGGAGCCCGGAGCCTATTAACCTCGGCTGCCAAGTGCAAACTCTCATTCATTATGAATAATATACGAGATATACATATGTATATAAATATATGTATATATGTATATAGAACGTACAGAAAAAAATGATTGTAACACAATCCGCTGATCGTATCCTGCCTCAGCCATAGAAACCGTCACTAAATCTCTGTGCTGGATCGCCACCGTTGTGTACGCCCGGATCGCCAACGACGGGCAACTGATTATCCCGGCGCAGACACGAACAGTCGTCCTGCTCGAGGCGGTCTCTGCCTTCACCGGGGCTTTGAAGGAAATCAATCACACCTTCGTCGCCCGATATCGAGACAAAAGATACCATATCATGCAACAGATGACCTCGGAGTTCTTGTCAACGATCGCGAAATGCTCGTTGAACACCGAATATGTCAATCAGGCCGATGCCGATTTCATCAAGCATGCGGTCAATCATTACTGGATCATTCTGCTTCGATGAAGCTCCGATGGAACCGAAAAGAAAAGGCTCTCTCCAAGGTATGATTTATCCCGCGATCTGACTCTCATTTAACCCGCGGAGCTGTCGCTGTTAGAGGATCACTGCTTTTTCGATACCACATGTCGGCCCTTCCAATTTATTCTGCGGCATTTTGATGACTCTATGCCTGTCCCTCCTCGATGTTCCATTTGGATCTATTTGCAGTGAATTGAGAACACGACGAAGAAGCCCCAAAAAATTTGCGAATTTCGGGCGAGATAAAGATCCATAGAATCCGCAGTCCATTGATGTCCAATTACTCCGATTAGAAAGTTTTTAGAATGATGGTATGCCTGAGTGGGAAGTCTTCTCGGACGCCTCGAGA